CAACCTTGAAAAATCTAAGTGTTTAGTCTTAGTAAGATGGTAGCTTCTTAAAGCATATGCCGTCCTTGAGTTTTATGTACGTGAAGAGAAGTACAATGAATTCAATTACGAGTACAATTGCAATGACAACTAAGGCAACTATTTTTGTCTTTTGCCAGCAAGAGTACTTCTTCTCTTCCAATGGTTCGGCAGAACTATACTCACTCATGAGAAATGCCAAAACGGTTTAATAGAAAAAGTGTCATTTTTTCATGTCCGAAGACTCGAAGGTGCAACACTTCCAAAATACCGACGAACTCAGAAGAGCAGCATGGCAGTATCTTCTTGACAACTTCTTTGAGTTCTCCAAGTACACCTTGGAAAATGCTGAAGAACTCCGACACAGAGAATTTGGAGAAATTGCACTCCAATACTACATTGACAAACAAAGGGTAAACAAAGGGTAAAATAAGACTAAAAACTTAACGTTTAAAAAGTGACATTTTTATGAGCTCCGAGTCACCGAGAAAACTTGGTCAGATGTTAGCAGCTTACTTCCCTGAGGAGGATGGAAGCGTTACATACGTAAGGTTCAAAAACAACGAACCTGGAATTGCGTACAAAATTCGCAATTACATGACCATGGAAGAGTACGAAAGGTTCCTACAAGAGAAACCAGCTCTAAACAACTCAGAAAAGAAAGAAATAAAAAGTTTAACTCGTAATTGTTTATTTTTTTACTTGTATGGGCAAGCTGCAAGAATGAAGTCGACTATCTCAGTCTTTGTCTTGACCAGTTGGACTGCTCTTGCGAGTACGTCTGTTTTGCGGTCTCCAGCTGGTGTCTGACCTTCGTAATTGCGCATGTTCTTGAGAGCTCCAACTGTAAATGGTTGTAGGATGAAGAGTCTCTCAGACTGCTTGAGGTAGTCTTCACGGTCACGAACCGAATCTGTGGTACGAGTCGAATCGGTCGATTTGAGGGAAGAGAGTGAGAGCCTGTCTTCTTCCATTGGGTAGTAGCATACTCTTTGCGTAAACGGTTCAGACCTTCTTCGAACTCTTGGTCTCTCTTGGATTGAGATTGGAATTGTGGGGCAGGGTTTTGCATAAACATCCAAGGGTTGGGGAAGTAAGGCATAGGCTGAGGAGGAGGGTAGTTCGGGAAGCCTTGTGGTAGGTAGTAACCTTGAGGTGGAAATTGGTAGTAATACGGAGGTACTTGCTGGAACTGAGGTGCAGGGGCTGGTGCTTTAGGTTCCTCTGGTTTGGGAATGGGCTCGGTTGGTGGTACGTCGGACATCTGTTTGTGGCTTAACCGTCGGAAGAAAACCTTTCCTGTCGGAAGGAAAAACCTTTCCTGTCGGAAGGAAAAACCTTTCCTGTCGGAAGGAAAAACTTTTTCTGAAGTTCGACCAAAAAGTTCTCAATTTTCGAAAATTTGAATGGTTTACGGACGGACAACTGGAAGAGTCCTTCCTGTCGTCGGGAAAATTTTTTCCAGTTGTCGGGAAAATATTTTCCTGTCGGATGGAAGGACTCGGAATACCAGAAGGATTTGACGAGGCAATTTACCTTATAGAGATAAATGAAGTTGTTAAGCAGTACTTGCGCAGGGTAATGAAGCCCAAGGTCAAGTTCACCACTATTTCTGGAAGGTCTACACTTCAGCTCGAGACTTCGACTGGAATTCCAATTCAAATACCAGAACGGGACGCAGCCTACGATGGCATAAGGACGCCAAAAGAGAAGCTCTTGTTAAGTTCCTAAACAAACGTCCTTGGATAAAAAATACCAAACAAGGAGAACCCCCTACCCCATATGAAATTGGCAATTCAGTCTCTCCTTCACTTTCTCGGGTCAGCCGTTTCTACATAACCTGTGAAGGCGACATCCAACCAGTTCAGTCAACCTTAACGTTTTGAGTAAAAACATTTTTTTTCATTTTTTGAATGAAGCAAGTTAAATTCGTCCCACACCAATCTCAATGGACCGATGAAGAGTTTCAAGCTATAGTTGAAGGTGTTGAGAACGACATAGACGGCGAACTTGAAGGAGCTCAAATCACAATTGCAACCAAAATTGCAGAAGTCAAGGAACAGATAGCTCCACTTAAAGCTACCAAAGCTACTCTTGACCTCATGGATAGTTACCGTTTAGATGTCAAGAGTGGAATAAGACAATTAAAATTAAAACTTCTAAACTACGAAGCTATACTCCAAAAGTTAGCAGAAATGAGAAGACTTTACCAGAGCTACTTACATGTAAGGGACTTACCTTCAAGCAGTCCGACCAAAGATGAATTTGTTGACATTGTCCCAATTTTGTCCGAAAGTCAGCTCAGATGTTTTGAACTGCTCCCAACATATCCAGAATATGAACGTTTGCCTGAACTCTTCCGCAATCTCAAAAAAACGTTTTTTGGTTCTCATGTTCCAAACTTTTATCGGAAGAGACAACAAACGTTCAGAAGAAGAACAAGATATTATTTTAAACTTGTTGTATGACTTAACCGTCATAACAAGCTTTTTGAAGTAAAACCGCCATTCTCAAACCACTTCATTTTTTTCGATGTCCGAACAAGCACCGAAGCCGAACACAATGGCAGATGTCCTTTCAATGTTGCCAGACAAGCGCCCAGTTCAAATTCAAATTTTGAATTTGAAAGCTCATCTGACAAACACCGTTAAGACTCTCCAAAGTAGTCTTATGGAAGAGATGAAGGGACTTAAAGGTGAGTTCCTCATGAACCAAGCTTCCAATGAGAAAGTCCTGAATGATTTGACGGAAACCTTGCGCATTTACGCGAGAGAGAACCGAGACCTTGCCAGACTCATCTACCGTTTCTTCGAAGAGATAGATGCCATCTGGAAGGTACTCGGAAAGGACAGAACCTCCAACACCGTAATTCGTGAGCACCAAATTGAAGAAGGAATTTTCGAGGAAGAAGAGGAACACGAAGAGGAACACGAAGAAGAAGAGAAACACGAAGAAAAGGAAGTTTGGGCAACCCTTGTTGCCGATGACAGTTATGAAATTTCCCAACCCTACCCATACAAAATCCGCAACAAGGAGACCGGCAAGGTTCTTACCCCAGTCCTCAACAACTTGGGACACTTGAACCTTACCCTTCGGAATCGCGGTTCAATCTCCATGGGCAAGCTTGTCGCAATTCAATGGGTTCCAAATCCAAACAAGAAGACGAAGGTCAGACACATTGACGGTGACAAGCTCAACAATCGTAAGGAGAACCTCGAGTGGTTCTAAGAGTAAAAAAATTTTATTTTAGGGGGAAACCCCAAGTAAATTTAGGTGTTTATTTGGATAAGTATGTGAAATTAAGGTCAATTTGCAAAATTAGTTCCCGACCTTTGAATTGGACTCTTTCGTCATCCCAGTTGCGTAGGAGGTCGTCCCAGAGGAGTTGGTAGATTTGCCAATCCAAGGACGATTTGTCCTCCCAGGCATTGAGGATGTACTGCTCGTAGAGTCTCATGACCTCTCCCTTGCACCAGACACCCTCTTCCTTGGAACGTAAGGCTTCTTCGAAGTGCTCGAATGCGATTGGCTGCGTGACCATCCGAAATGACACTTTTTGTCCGTTTGGTCAATGTTTGTGTCTCGTGCCATAGTCGACGAAAATACAGACAAACAGGTTATATATGAGTTTGAGACCAAGAATGGTGTAACTCGACCTGTCCGATTCAAAGACTCCGAGGGCGACCATGAAATTAAACGGAAATTAGCTAGGAAGGAATATAAAATGGACTGGTTGCCACCACCTCCACCTCCACCACCTTTACCTGTTCCTCAAGTAAATAAGCCTTTCCCGTTCCCAAGAATTCCCACATTTTAATTCAAATTCGAATAAAAATTTTTTACTTCATGCAATGTTTTATTTCTGTGCCGTCTTCAAGTATGCCCCAGTACTTACGCTTGGAGAGGACATGAACTTCGGAAAATACCTTATCTAGCTTAAAACAGCCCATCTTTTCACCGACCATACCCATTTCAATGAGTTTGTTGTACCCTTCTTCGTTCGTCATGAGTGCGTCAATGTTCTCATAGTAAACCTTCACTTTGGATTTGACTTCGGAGAAGAATTTGTTGTAGTTGTCAAGGACTGCCTTTGCGAACTGAGGGTAAGACCAATGTTCGACAATAGGTTTTAATGTGGTTACTAAGCCACTTTGACCTTGAGTGAATTCGTACTTCAAAACAAAAGGAGAAAACCTTTCAACAAAGTTGTCGACCTTCTCATAATGTTTACTCTTCATCTCTTGAGGTTTCTTAATGGAATATCCCCATGTCGAATTCATAAGCAATTTGAGTGTCATTGCAAGTTTGGGGTTTGAAGCTTTCCTAATATCATACAGTTGTTGTATGACTTTTCCAACTGTATAGTTCCTTCCCGAGAACTCACCATCTTCGTTTGGAATTCCAGTCGGAATATATTGGACAAACCTCATGTATGCAGCGTTAAGGTCGACATAGTATATCTTTTCATCTGAGTCGAACTTGTCGCAACCAATTGGTCCAGTTTGTGGAAATTCAAGTGAGTCTCTTATCTTCTGAGAAACTTCTCCTGTTATCTCATAAACATCGTCGAAGCAACCTGTTTCATATAAAACCTTCTGACCTAACTCAGATGCTCTCCAATACAATTTGACGTCAATTGGATGTCTCAATGGAAGTTTGTTTATAGCATCTTGAAGTTCTTGCAACCTCATTGGAAGTTCTTCTGGTTCAGGTTGGTATCCGAACAATCCAACTCCTTTTGGAACTGTGTACTTCTTTTGTGCTATAACTTTGTCTGGAACAACTTTTGGTCTTGCTAACAGTGAAAAGTTTGTTTCGTCTTTTGGTACAAAAGTTTCTGTCAGCTTGTCATCTGGAATTGTTCAACAAACCTTTCTCGAAAAGAATGTTAACAGCTCTGACAATGTTGCACTTGCCTTTTCCGAACAATGGGTTTGTAAGACTTTCGTTCAACATGAAGTGGTTGTGGACAATTACAATCTTCAACCATGGTAAGTCTTTGTCAACAACATAGTCGTCATGTGAAGAACCTTTAGCTGTAGGTATGTTAACGCGGATATTGACATTTGCCAACGGTGCAATTTTGACAATTGCCCTCTGAGAATGTACCTTGTTTTCACACATGACTCAAGATACTTCATCTTCTCTTCTGTAACAAGACCAGAGTTCCTGAGACATGTAAGAATGCAAGGTTCGTTGACAATTGTTTCAATTGAATTGTAAATTCCATACCTTGTCAAGTCAATGTCAGACTTATTTATGAACGGGAAGTATCCAGCATGTTGTCTGACTGCTTGAGGGTTAGGTTGGTACCATTCGAACTTGACACTTGCAATTCCTTCAATTGCATTCAAAATGTCTGAGTCGGAGTCAACCATTTGTTCTCTCTTTGTAGTCTTGAAAGCGTCAAGAAGTTGTGCGGCTGTTTGTTCATTGCCATGCGCATAGTAAATGTGACCATCTAAATCTGTTACGGTTAGTCTGAGATTGTATCCTTTCTTATTTCCGTCTTGTATGGCAGCAAGTACTCCCATGAAGCCTTCTTTGTTCTTTCCTTCGTCAAAGTTTACTGTAAAGGTTCGACCAGATGTAATTTGACTTCTAACTTCACGGTACTTTTCATATGCATATCTTGTTCTTTCCATGGGAGCATGTGCATCTTCACCTTTTCCTTTTTTCCTTCTCAAAGGATGCAATTGTTCGTCATGTTTCCAGTAGAATCTGGCAAAGCCGTCGTGTCCTTCAACTTGTGGCTCAGTAACATCAAAAGGCATGTCCATAAGACGTTCTTCTTCTAACCTCTCTAGTCTGTTTGGATAATTTGCACGTGCTGTTTCCAAATCCATTTCGTAGGTCAGACCAGCCAGTTTGTCATAGACTTTTATGGGTCTTCCCTTCCTATATTTAAACTTCTTTGAAACTCTCCAACCATATCTTTCTAACTCTGCTTTTATTCTAGCAGACCTTCTATCCATTCTATACGGAGGCATTTTTATAAAAATAAAAAAATATATTTTTTCTTTACTTTACATAACCTCCCGCTGCCATAAGCCTTTGACGCCAACCCATACCAGCTAATGAAGGTTGGCTTGGTTTAGTTTGAAAACTAACCTTTGGTTTTGGTTTTTCTTCAGTTTTTGGCTCCCCTTCTTCTATTGGTTTTTCGTCACTTTTCGGTTCATTTGACTTTACCTCACTTGCAGGAACAGTTGTGTCGTCAACATCTTCATAAATATCATATGCCATCTGTTTTTGTTTTCCTTTCAACTTTTTGTGTTTGTTTGTAAAGTTTAGAATATTTCGACTCTAAGTCAATGAGATGTTCTATAATGAAACTGTTGGTCAGTGAAGTAAACTTTTCCATCTGTTGTCTCGAAAGCTCCTTCAGACTTCAATATTTTATTTGTGAGAGTCTGTTTCTTTTTTGAGATACTAGCCGTTCCATTTCTATGAAAAGTGACTTTATAGTTAGGGTTTGTATTTCCAGACCTGGCACTTTCTATTATTGAATTTTTCTCTTCATCTGTAAGTTCTTTGACAGGTTTTGACAATGGTTCTGAACTTTTTGTTTGTGGTTGTCAAATCTACCGTTTCAACTTCTTCGGTCATTTCATCTCAGTAAAAAATTTTAGTTTGGTTTGTTTTCAACTGGTTGTTTAGGTTTTTTAAGTCGGTCTAAAACTTCCTGAGGTATAGGAAGAACTTGACAAACACGTGTGTGTAACTGCTGGAAGTCGACAAATCCATCTTGAACCCATTTGTCTCAATGCTGTATTGTTCATTTCATCTCAGTAAAAAATTTTACATTCCCCACGTTTGAGGCGGTTGAGGTTGGTTATTGTTTACCCACTGTTGTGCATGGTTATATCCTCTGTTAAAGAATCTTTCACCTTGGTCCATATAGTGTCCTGCTTGGTTATAGTAGTCATTTGCTTTGTTATAATAGTTTCCTGCTTGTCTTCCTACATTGTCCATCCATCCTTGAACTTTTCCTCTTGTTTCAGGATTTGGAATAAGATTTGCTGCATCTCGTGCTACATCCCAACCTTTCTGTACAGTTTGTATAATAGGTTTGTGCTTTCTCTTTAAGTATACCTAATGTACTCAAAATCTTCCTTCCAACTCCAAATACACCTCTAGCTATTGTTCCCACTGCGGGCAAAAATCTGGATGCAACTCCTGCTAATGCGCCAAATAAACCCATTTCTTATGGGTAAAAATGACGAATCCAAACAAGGACCCCTATGTTCTAAAGCAACAAAGAAAGCACTCATGATAAAAATCTTAGTTCAACACCAAATGCTTGGTTTATGGATATCTTGGAAAACATTCCGAGGTATAGAGAAGATGGACCACCATACTGGCTAATATTTGTCGGTCAAAACACAAGATACTGTGAAGCCATACCATTACAGTCCAAAAATATTTTAGATATCTTAGCAGCTTTGACAATATTCGTTGACAAATACCATCCAACAAAACTGACATCTGACTGTGAAAGTTCTTTCAAATCAGATGATGTAAAAAACTATCTGCGTTCAAAAAATGTAAACCAATATTTCATTGTCGACCAAAACCATTCTGCTCTTGGTGTCATTGACATGACGGATGTATAAAATGTTAAGAGACTTAAACCAACCACAAGGTGGTGAAGCAAATGAAATGTCATATGACGACAAATATAGACACTTCTCCATGGCAAAGATGAGACAAGTTTTAAATATTTACAATAACCGTAAACAAAAAGGTTTGGGAAACCACTCCCCTGAAGAAATGAAAAACAACCCTGACTTAGAGAAAGACTATATATTTAATAATTTAGTCAAAAGAGACAAACAAGAAAGAATGCCGGGCTTCAAACTTAAGAAAGGTGACAAAGTAAAAATAGAAATACCTAAACGTGACCCATATGAAAATACTATTGACTATGACAACAATGGGAACCCGACAGGTACTCACATTCGTGTTCGTAAAAATAGAAGAAAGTATACAAGAGAATATTATGAAGTTTTAGGCAAACATGGCAAAATGTACAGACTGCAAGCAGAAGATAAAACTACTATTGTCAGACCTCGTTTCAAACTTGTTAAGGTTCAAGGTGGTATACTTTCAAAGACAGTTCCTAACAAATATAAGACAACTCCTGACGAATATGCTAAAGAAGTTGAAAATGACGACTAAGCATTTCTATACCATGCGTAAACTGTCATGTAAGGTGGCATGTAGTCTTTACTCTGTCCCGTTGTTTGCGTATAGCCTGAAACGCGATGTGTATGGCTTCCTCCTACCTCAGTGTTACTCCAGTAACAATTTATAGCAAACTTAACGTCCTCTTTAACATCATATCCTTTACCTTTTGTCATTCCTGACCAATCCCAAAATCTATGACTATGCAAACCTGCTTCAGATGTAGTTAAACTTACGTAGTGACTGTGCGCAGGTAAATTTGCACCTGAAATCGTTTTACTTCCACCTGTTTCCTTTGAAGAGTTTGCACAATACAAAAACCTGTCGACTATTTGAGTCCAAGTTCCAAAACCAAGTACTCCTTCTGGTTTGGTAGAGTTCATTGACGTGTAAATAGAACCTATAGGATATACTGTTTGAAGTATTTCTGTCTTTAACGTTTGAAGCTCTGTTTTGTCTGCTTTTTTATATAACTTTTCTTCAAGTTCATTTACGTCAGAGATGCTATGTCTATGATATTTTTGTGGGTATGTTCCTTCTGTCCATGCGAAAATACGTTCTTTTGTTGCATCTACATATCCTTTTATCCATGTCGAGTCTGCTTTTGTATTCCTTAACTCTGTAACACCTTTCTCAAGCTCTTTCAACTGTTGTCCATCTTCCATTAAACCTCTGGTATGACTTGAAACCGTTTGTGCCAACATATCTACAGTTTCTTTGTCGGCTTTAAGGTCTAAACACCCTGAAACCCATCCTGTATCAGCTTTCGTTTTTAAAATCTTCGATGTCCGTTCATTATACCATTCAACCCTTTCTTTAATTTCATTGTCTTTTTCATCCACATATTCCTTATCTGCCTTCTTCACTAACGCACTAGCCACGCATGCTAACTCATCGTTAACATATGTTTTGTCAGCTTTCTTTTCAACATCCTCTTTTGTTGCATATGTTGCATCTGCTCTGTCATGTTCTTCTTGAACTTTTTCAATGACATACTCTTTGTCAGCTTTGTTGTCAATATCTGCTTTCAAAAGAAGTTCATCTATAGGTTTCTCGTTTAAAGTTCCTTTTGTTGGATTTATACAAACAGTATGGTTCTTACTGTCTTGAAACAGAAACTCGTCTGTCATTGGGTTTATCGTCAGTTTTAAGTTTCCTTCTTTCAATGACTCAGATATCTTAGAATAGTTTGAAAAGTTTGTTGTGTTCTTATTTAGAGCTTGCAAAATGAGTTGTCGGTTGTGTTGTATTTCTCTCATAGACGCTGTTTCTTTCGACATTTTTATTCTAGATAAAATATGCTTTCAATAGAAAAAGAAAATTCAAGAGTTGCTACAACTAAACCATTAGATGAACTTTTTACTAATGTCGGTCAAAAGTTTGAGACAGAGACCGTAAAGCATGAAGGCTATCGTTTTGACTACCCATTAAGATGGCTAAGAGACCCATCTGTCACAAAAGCTATTGGCTTTCGTAGAATGAAGTTCATTTCAGAAGCCATACATGGTTTCCCATTTACGGTCGGTTTTACCGTTCGATACTATAACAAAGAAAAACGTACGTATGAGAAATTTGAACAGGGAAAACTTTTACAAGTGAATTTGCTTGTAAATTTAGAAACAACTCTTCAAGCTTTTCAAGAAAAAATAAACGATATCTATCTCGAATATGCAAACCAGTATAACATTGACGAAGGAGAGTACCATCTCGATATTGTTTATGACAGGAAAAACGCAACTGTTAAAATCAATAAAATAGAAGACCTTGGAGAAAACGTTTATATTTCTACAAAATATAACAACTTGGCATGGCATAGATTTTTGAGGATGTTAAATCAGCCTGCATGGTATCCAGTACACCCGGACTATTATGAAGTCGAAAACCCTAATGGAACATATGAAAATGTTTTCGACTCAGATGCTATTATAGTTCATGCTTCATTTTCTGGTGCACAAAACTCTTTTTTATGCTTGGCAAATGACTTTTACGAAAAACCTACAAAGCTATATGAACCGCCGAGTGGAAGTATTTCAGACTTTCAAGTATGGTTTACTACAGATGGAAGAAAAAGAATAATTCCATTATACCATGCGTTTTACTTAGAACTTAGTTTCATATACAACTACTATCGAACGGTAAAAATATGATTTTTTAATACGGTTGAGGTGTTGGATTTGGTTGCCAACTAGACTGTGGTGCAGGTTTCAGGCTGTTGTATAACAGGAGCTTGTTCTTCTGGTTCAGGGTCTTTAGGTATAATACCAACAAACTGACCTACTCTTTTACCAATATTTTGACACCGTTCCAAATTCCTCTTCCTACGGTTTTTATTCCATTCCATATACCTCTTCCAACATTTCGAAAGAAGTTTCCTATCTTACTGAAGAAACCCATTTTACTATATGTAAAAATCTAATGTCCGCCTAGTCTTTACGTTTCCTGTTGAGTTCCATAGCATTCTTTAACTGGAGCTCATACATTCTGTTTCTCCTCTGGTAGAAAACATATTCTGGGTCAACTCCTGTGTTCGCGTCATCTGCATAAAGTTGTTTATATCCCACTTCAGGGTTTGTATAAAACTCTTTCCATCTCATATTTGCATACCATGGTGGCAAACCTAACGCAGCGTCATTTGACATGGCAGTTTGCATTTGTACAT